GGGTTCTATAGTAAATAGTATGGTTTCCTTATCATGGTACCTTTTCTTACAACAAGAACTCTACTTAGCCCCTAAACCCTGAACCCTCAAAACCTCCACCCAAAATCAAAAGCCTACGCCCCCAACCCTAAGCAGGCCAGTTGGACTGGAGGTGGCTCTTCCCTGCACGCCACGGAACTGTACGCCGGCGCGAGGGCTTGTCCTTCTACTTGCCAGGGGGTCGTCTGCGGGGATAGGGGATAAGCTTTGCGGATAACGAGTGAACTCTTTGAACCTACACTTGCAGAGCCTGGGGTTGCGTGGCTTTGCAGTTACACCTAGGATTAGGCAGGCTCGGTTCTGAGGCCTAGCATTCTACGACTTTAAAATTAAGGTGCCTCTGGCCCAAAGTTCAGATTGAGTCCAGGTTGATGCGATAGGGGGGCAGAGGTGCAAGAGAAACAAATTCAAGACGGCATTGCATAAGATAAGTCAATACAGTCTGAAAAATGTCAAGACAGTACACTACAAAACACAGAGTGTAACCACTTGGCAAAACAACAAGATACGCAAGCTAGCACAAGGCACAAAAGGTTCAAGACCTACCACCTGCGCAGCTCAGTAGTCTCAGCAGTATTGTTTATGGACAGGGAAGCACCAGGGAATTGTAGTACATTCATATCCTAGATCCTAGATACGCAGGATTATGTCCACCAGCAGCAAAACTAGAATTCAGGTAAAGTCTTGGATTCCTCATCCCTCCATCCCAAAACGTCTCAAAACCCCCATCTGTCTGACCTTGACATTCTTCGGAAAGGCTATCGGGCCAGACTGGCGCTTAGGATTTTCAACTGTATGGTTTAGGATTCTTGCATTGGGGCTTGTAGTTCAGGTCCTGCGGTGAAAGTTGCATGCATTTGGATTCTAGCTTTGGCTTTTGGAGTGCAGTACTTGTCTGCTTTAGCAGTGAACTTTTGGGGCTCGGGTTCTGCTTCGCCTGTCCTCCAGCAGCCCATACTTATGACGCAAACAATAGACCTGGGCCCGCGAGGCTTCCAAGGACAGGAAAGGGTGTAATATAGGGGACTCATATTTAGAATAGGGTGTCGGGATATATCGGTAGTTCTCTACATTCGGGCCCCTTTTAGGGTCCTTTCTATATATAGGTTGCCGTACTATTTTGGGGGGACCCCCCAATGTAGGGACCTACCCATAGTCTTGTATAAGCATAAGAAGGAATCCCAAGGAAGAATATTGGAAGCTATTCCGTCTTCTATCGTAAAACTTAGGGTTCTACAGTCGCTTGGAGTGACCTCACAAGTATATTGTTGGGGATTTTAGGGTTGAGGGTTTGGGGTTTTGGGTGCCCTACTAAGTTAAACTCCAAACCCTAAGTGGCAGCTTTTAATACCTTAAGCCGGGTTTTGTCTCATGATCCTCCGACTGTGGAATTCTCCTTCTCGGTTCTGTGGATTTGGCATTTGAGGTCTCGATGTTTTGTGGGAGCGTGAGTAAATCGGGTGTGGGGGTATCTCATGGTATAGGTTCTTGGGACTGGGGGGGGGGGGGGGAGGACCCTCGAAATTTATGGTTTAGGGTTTAGCAAACGATCAAAGAAAGCCAGCCAATGAAACCCAAAGAATCGCTCTGCCTGCAACCCTGAAAACCCTCCCTTCCCGAATTTATTCTGCATGGGATGCCTTTGGCAATACATCATAAACAGCCTCAGACCCCAGACCGTGCTCAGAAAGCCAGAGCCCGAAGCCGAGACTCCATGCTCAAGGCTCAGTTTAGGGTTTGGGGCGTTAAGGCTTT